CTTAGGCCTGGGGGCAGAGGCCACAGCAGGAATTGGACATGTATCAGATCCTCTGGAAACTCCACTTGAGCACAAAGGCAGATGCTGATTTGGGAGCAGACTCTTCTCTAAAACAACATCTGGGCCCCATGATTACTGTGGGAGGATCTGGAGGGAGGATGTTTCCAGGTCTTTAGGTAGGCTCTGTGTGATGTTCTTAGGGGGTTGTTCCAATACCTGGGACCTGAGATTATTCAGGGGCATATATTTGTTAGCTGCTGCTGCTGCTGCTTATGCCAAACTGTTAGGGCAAATGGAGGGAATCCGAAGCAAGAAACCCTAAAGGAGAACACAGAGAAGGAAGTAGTGCCATCTCAGCTTAGCACCTGTATCTGTTGTCTTGACCCTCCCAACAATGCCTACTGCATATTTCCACATGGCTTTAGCTTTTGTAGAGGCATGTATATGGGCCTTTTCTCACCTCATTTTTATCCAATCCTAAGTCACAGGTCTTTGCAAACTCTTATGCTATGGACTAGTCCCATGATGACTCAATGAGAAACAGAATGGGATAATTGTCTTGTGAATTTAGAATTCAGAATCATGGGCTATCCAGACAATCCTGGGGTGCTGCAGGTGGTAATGGCAAGAGGCTTGGGATTAGAGTAAGAAGATCTTGAATACCAGCTCTTCTACTTATTGGCCATGTAATCATGGGCAAGTTACTTAACCTTGTTGAGCCTGCTTCCTCATCTATAAAATTGGAAAAGAAATGCATATACTATTACTATATTACTATGCACACAATGCTTTTTTCATTCATTCATGTAATCATAGCTGCTTCTTAGGCTGCTCTGAAACTCAAGTGAGATAATGTATGTGAAAAGGGCTTGTAGCTGGTAAACGTGACATAAATGTAAGCTATTATGATTTAAGTTAAAGCAGATGTTCACTGGGAAATTGCACATCCCTCCTCTACTCTTTCTGTGAGCATGTGATGATTCCTCTCTCCAACTCTCCCTTCCACCTCTCCTCCCTCCAAAAAAAAAAAAGAATTCTAGATACAGCTATAACTTCTGGTTATTTAAGAGCTGACCATTAAATGTGCGCATGATCTGTATTTCAGTTAGTCTCTTCTGCTCTCCTCTGTCACATCTTGAGTGAAGCTCCTCATTATTCCTTCACCCAGAGGGTAGAGGGGTTGGAGTGGAGAAACAAGAAGGGGCAGAAACGCAGGAGACCATGGGAAAGAAGTGGAGGGGAAACTCTGATCACTATACCATAATGGGTTTTGCCACTTTTCAGTGGCTCGGGGACGGAAGAGGGAAAAAGCTATTAGCTAAAATGACATTCACAGGTTTTCACTTACCCTATCTTCTGCCCCATTACTGTAAATGAGAGTTGACTGTAGGTAAAATGGCTGACAGCCTGCCTGGGAGATCTCTATGTTAAATGGAACTCTTTGAACAAGAACTGTTTTCTTTCAAATGAATTTCTGAAGTGTAACAGTATGAGTTTCAGGCAACAACACACATTTGTGTGCACCCCCTCTCAAACAAATTCTTCTTTCATCCTGAAGGAGGCCTGGGAAGAGTTTACATATGTGTTGTGTATGTATGTGTGTGTGTATGTGTGTATAGACATATGTACATGTATATAATGTATCTATATGTGTATGTATTATATATATACGTACACATAAACATATACACATAAACTGTAGTTAATATTAACAGTATTGCTTTAGTTTTTTTTTTTTAACCTGGTGTCATTTCCAAATCTTTGCTGACTCTCCCTTTGTTGAGACAGGACACTGTAGGTTTCCAGGCACAGTTTTTGTCTGGTTTGTTTGATAATCCTTTTCCTGGAGTGCTGCCTGACCATAGGGCTTGAAGGGCACTTGGGCAACTCAAATTCTTAGAGGGTCTGTGGCTGGCTTGGTCATGTTCAGTGCTCTCTTGGGTCATTTCTTCTCAAGGGATCCACTTGGAAAATTGGAAGAAAGCTTTCATTTTTTTTTCTTTTCAGTGTAGGATTGAACTCTCCCCAATAAAGTTAATAGGCTGAAACTTCCCATTCCTTTGACATTGAGATAAGGATACTTTTTTTCCTCAGGTGTTCTTAGATATTCTTTCATCTGCCATGACCAGAACACAAAGTAGTTTGCCTGGAGCCAAACCATTGATGTTCCTTTTCTCTCTCTCAAATGGTGCCAACCAACATCAGTTAGCTTTAATGTCTGTAACTGGGTTATTACCAATCATTACACGTGGCATCCTGCACAAGGGGAGTGAGGACTTTCTTGTCCTAGTCTAATCAGAGGACTTATTTGCCATAGAATGGTAGTCAAACACTCTGCCTACATGAATCCTGAAGATTCCTGCACACATGAGAAGAAATGTAGACTTAAGGTAAGGCCTCTCACACACTTTAAAGGGCCAGTCACTGTCTTTCTGAAAAGCATTTCTTGCATAATGCATGAATTAAATTTCCATGGCGCAGCTGGGAAGCTGGAAGAGGGGGCAGCATGAGTTAAAAGCCTGCATAGCAGCAGAAAATATGGCCATGCCCAGCTCTGGGTTACAGTTACTGAGGGAACTATAATTTTGATTTGCTCTACTGGGGTAAATGTAAATCCGTAAGTGAAATGTGTTAAGCCAGGAAGATGGCATTCCATTTTTAAAGGATACTTTTGAAAGACAGCTCTGTCTAAATTCCCAACTGTCAGAACCTGGGGGCAGTTAGCAGAGGATGAAATGGGGAGGTGTCCTGTGTGTTTTCTAAGGGCTTCCCCAGGCCTGTGTTTCCAGAGTCTTGACAATAAGCACAATCTATCTGACTGCATTAATACCAACACTTAAGCAAATGTTTGATTCTAGACCAGTTTTTCTCTGCCATTTTGTACCCTAAAACCCACAGTAGTTCTGTTACTACTTTAGGACCAGATGTGTGGGTTTTTTGGGGAGTGTGTAGTGGACTCCCCATGAGAAAATCTGTCAACCAGTGGTAGAGAGGGGCTGGTCCTGCAACATGGAATCTTACAGAATTTCCGGAAGTACTGTGAGAGTAAATTCTTTTTTTCAGGGTCACATAGTCAGTTGTGTGTCAGAAGCGGGACTTGAACCAGGCCTTCCTGACTTCCCAGGCCAGCTTTTCATCCATTTGGACTCCTCCATTACCATATCAAGTCTAAATTCAATTCAATTCAATTCACTATACTTTATTAAGTTCTCACTGTGTACCCAAGCATTATACTAAGTTTTGAAGATTAAGAGGGAACAATGAAATAGTTCTACCCTTAATGAACTTGCATTATATTATATATTTACTTCTTTTTATGATTAAATTGATTATAAATATAATATATAGCAGCTTATTAGTTATAGGTTCTCCTTCATTTTCTGTACATTGTATTTCTATGTAGATTTTTCTCTCTTTTTTTTTTTTTTAATTCCAAGCTTTTGGGGGGGGGTGTTAGATGAATGGTGCAAAGTGAGTAGAGCCAGAAGGAGTTATACTCTAATATCAATGCTGTAAAAATGTGTAATCCTGAAACACTTAAGAATTCTCATTAGTGCAATGATCAGCCGTGATTCCAGAGGATCAATGATCAGGAATGTTTCCTATTTCATGACAGAGAGGTGATGGGCTAATATGCAGAATGAGACAGAGTTTTGGACATGGCTGATGTGGGAATTTGTTTTGTTTGAATACGCTTATATCATAAAAGAGTTTTGCATTTCTTACATTTTCATCTAAATACCCAGCATTCATTGGTTCTCCATACTCAGCCTATCCCTACCTGTGTGACCTTGCACAAAACCATTTAACTTTTATGCTTCCTAGTTTCTATTTCTATAATGTCCATTTCTGTAATCAATGGGGCAAGAGGTACCTAGACTAGATGGATGAGTTCTAAAGTCCCTTTCAGCTCTAGATGTTATACCCCTACCTTACCAAGTTAAGAACGATGAAATGAATAGAGGGCAGGCCTGAGAGTCATGCTGACCTAGAAACAAGTCCTGACCTTACCAAATATTGGCTCTTTCACTCTGAGCAGGTTATTTAACTTCTCAGGGTTCAGGACAACTCTAGGAATCTAAGCTAGTCAGTTGCTGCTCTGCCTCGGTGGAGGGAGTTCCCTAAACTAATGGGATCACAAGTCTGTACAACAACAATGACAAAAACGCTCTGCTCAGGACAGACTCATCATCATCTCATAAGTCATCCTCTTCCTACCGCCGCGCCTTTACTTGTTTTATTTCTCTTGCCTGAAGTGAGTTTCACCCATTTCCTCTGCCCTTCTAGAGCCTACCCATCCCTCAACGATCGGCTCAGTTTTCCTTTTGATCTTGAAATTCTTTCTTATTATGCGTTATGCTCCCCATCTCCTCCAGGCCCTTACAGTGTTGAGACCCACTACCAGATGATTTGGCAATTCAGCACCTAATGCTTGGTGTCATTTACTGTCCTTGCTTCTATGATGGTCCCGTCTTCTGTGTGTCCCTTCTTGTCCACCCCCACAGCCAAAGCCCTTATCGCTTCATTTCTTTATTAATGTCACAGTGATTTCCCAACCCTCCCTTTGCTGCTTCTCTCCCCTTTATCCTTCATACAGCTTGTTTGTACATAGTTGTTTTCATGTTGTCTTCCACACTGGACTGTGGGCCCCTTTAGGGAGGGTCTGTTTCCTTTACCTTGCTTTGTTTCTCTGGTGCTTAGCACAGCGCTCAGCCCATCGTAAACACTTAATAAAGACTTATTGACTGTTTTGATGTCTTTCCTTTCTCTGATCAGAAACATTCTGCAATCTATTTTAATCCAACACATAGTTATTCAGTGCCTACTACAAGCAAGCCAGTAGGACTGCAAAAGACAAAAAGGAAAACAGTCTCTGCCCTCAAAGAATTTAGATTCTACTGGGAGATTCATCTTGTAAACAAGAAGCAGCATGGTATAGTGAAAAGAACAATGACTCTGGAGGCAGAGGTCCTGGATTCAAATACTATCTCTGACATTACCTGTGTGCCTTTGGGCAGTCAGTTAACCTCTCTGGGCCTCAGTCTCTTTATCTGTTAATGAGGAGGTTGGATTCAAGGGCCTCAGGTCCCTTCCGGATCTGTCATCTTTTAATCCTAAACATAATAGATGATAATTTGAGGAGGAAGGAGAGAACAGCTATGAAGGGGATTAGGAAAGCCTTCTTGCACAAAGCACTAAGCCTTGAAGGAGTTGAGGAATATGTAGAGGCATAGGTGTGTTATATAGTCGTGATGCCAGAATAGCATCATGGAGGAAACCCTGGGGTTGGACCCAGAGAAAAGAGATACATTTGAATTCTGCCCCGTCACTTATGGCCTGTAAAAGTCACACAACTTTGGAGTTTTTATATCCAAACCAGTGGGTTGCATTAGATCAAATCAATCAAAAAGCATTTATTAAGCACCAGTTCTATGCCAGAAGTTGTGCTAGATGCTGGGGATATAAAGACACATGATGGTAGAGGATCTCTAAAGCTCCCTTAAATGTGCCATGTACCTTTCTTTCTCTGCCAGTTAAATTCACAGGGTCTCTGGGAAGTCTTCCATGATCCCATTGACCAACAATCCTCCCCCTCTCTCTCTTCTTTGTCTCCCCACTTTGCGCTCTTGTCGCACTTCTCATCTATACAATGAGTCGGTTTTCATTTGACTGCTCCTACGTGGACTGAGATGGTCATGGTCGGGGTGGACTTGAATGGCCTGTTCCTGGAGGAAAGCTCTGTTGTGCCAATCTGTACGGCTCCCCACATCTTGAATTCTGTTTTACCTCTTGCTCCAATAAATACATTGGCTCGCTGTCCATAGTAGGCCCTTGATATGTTTATTGGTTGATTGATCACTGTCTTTTGTGCAATAAGCATTTGGTGGAAAGTAATCTCGTTCCAGGCCAGGAGGATCATACTTGTCCAAATCTGAGCAATCTTATTTCCTTCTACTAAATGCTCAATTCAAAAAAAGGACAGTCAAGGATAGCAAGTCAACATATTTATCTAAGCCAGAAGTAGAAAAGAATTTGTGATGAAGGTGGGGGGAGAGTCATATAGATCAGTGTTTCTTAAACTGTGAGTTGTGACCCCATATGGGGTCACAAAAATTTTGACAACAGTGAAAGGTTTCTGAACATGCAATGACCGAAAATTAATTCCAAATCAAATGTGTAATGAATCTGAGTTGTTTCTGGCAGTGTTTGCTCGTGTTGCATAGCAGACTTCACTGTAGCCTTGGTTCTGAACACAGAGCAGTGCTGCCCCAAACTTGAAAAGGGGTCACTAGGGGAAAAGTTTAAGAAGCCCTGAGTAGATTGTTGTAGGCATAGACTATGCAGGAGCAAAGAGGACTGTGTAATTAGGGAGAAAGATGAAATCTCACTTGAGCCAAGGAGAGAATGATCTTCTTTGAGAAGCCCATGGAGAACTGTCTCTGTGGGGTTGGGTGCTATAAAGGACTCAGTGTTTCCCACAGGCTGGTGGTTCTAGGGAGGTCTCCCACCGGGCATTAAAAGTCCACATCTGCCTCTTCTTGTTTCCTCCATTTGTCTCTTTGAAGCGTCTCTGCCAAATCTAACACTTTATTAATTCATGACTTGGTCATTCCACCCATGCTAGAACAAAGATCTTTGACTTTGACTTCTTTGTTTTTCCTTCTCTCCTTAGCGCTAAGGTTTAGCATAATGCTTGGCCTATAGTTATATTGAATTGAATCATATCTAATAGAATATGAAATGGAGGGTTTTTGGGGGGAGTGGGATGGAGGGTGTGGAGATTCTTAGGTCCCAGTGAATATGAGCATGTTTATGTATTTTCTTGGTTTTTACTTCTTTTTGTCCCTTCTATCACTTCTTGTTTCTCCTCTCTTTTCTTCTGATAGAAGAGGTCAGGAGGTATTTGAAAGTCTGCCATCCCCTGTAATTTTTTCTAGTCCTTGTAGTAATCGATACCTTAAGTGGAGTGATGATTGATAGCAGCCTTTGAACTCTGACAAAGGCCAATTCCAAAAACTCAGGTGGCAGGGAGAAATGGAAATGCTCCAGCGAAGCCATCAGTTTTTTAAGATGACCAGCCAAACTCAAGAAGAGCTGACTCCAGAAGGCTCCTAGTGTGGAGTAGGCAAGCCCACTCTACTTTGGGGCTGCAGGAAAAGGAATTCAAACAGGAGGGATGTGCAGCATAAATTTAACCAACCCAGTTTTGAAAGCACTGTCTGGACACTTGTGTTTTATCTCAGGAGGCAGACAAGGTGGTTAGAGCGCTTTTCACTGTGGGAAAGGGAATCCAGACTTAAGTGGAGTCCTCCTTCTCTTCCCCTGTCTATGAGCTTTGAATACTTTATTTGTGTTTAAAATACCTACAACTGAGGCAGGACCCAGGCAGCATTTTGAAGTCACTAAGTTTGTCTTCTGGTGCTCCTAGCCTCTTTGTTTGGACCTTCTTGTTCTCTCCTCTTAATGACCTCATTCCCTGTCCCTAACCTAGTACTAGGTGCCCAAAGTCTTCATCTTTTATCTCCTTTTTGCTAGGTTTTGAGAAATATTAAAGGAAAGGATAAATTTATACATAATGCTGTACAAAGAACTGATAAGGCCTAATGTTTTCTTTCCCAGAATCTTTGAATTTCGTTGGGTGAATTCAAATTGTGGGGCTTTTGACTTCACCAAGCTGGGAGGGAATATATCTTTTCAAGGGTTAAGGGGGCTCCCTAAGTAGTTACTTATTCATCCTTGCATGCTATGACACACAAGGACAGTTAGAGTTGGACAGAAGGGAAAGGTGGGCCAGAAGAAACCATAGAAGAACAAAGAAATACTTATCTGCTGCTGCTGAAGGGGAGGTGGCCATTTGTGTCTTGGTGGGGTTGGTTTGGGGTCAGAGTGAGATGTGTGTTAGAGTCCAGGGTGCTGATCTGCTGTGAGCACAGGATATGGAGTAGAGCTCCAGCACTATCATTCCCACTTAATCTTCAGGCAACAGAATCTTTGGCTTGGGAATCCTCAGAGAATGTGCATTTTTTTCAGCCCTAGGCTGAGAGAGTTCAGTGTTGTTTTAAAAAAAAAATTTCTCACAAAGCACAGTCTAAAATAAAAAGTAGCATTCCTACTCCATCACCTCCCCAACAAGGAAACATTTATGTTGGTTTTTTTTGTTTGTTTGTTTGCTTAAGTGCAGTCTCCCTCCCTCCCTTTTTACCTGCCACAAAATGGGAGTTAAAAGCATTTGATAAATGGATTGAAACATTTCACAGCATTTTCTTTCTTAACCCTAGTTACCTCCTGAGATTCTTCTGGTGCTTTGGCAGCTCCTTACAATAGCACCATAACTTGTGATCACCACAGGCAACAGCGATAGCCAAAGTGTGGGAGGGGAGCTCCTAGCAGTGGAAAAACACCATCCCTGCAAAGGTCCGGAACATCTGAACAGACTGCTGATTATTGCACGTTGACAGGCCTTGTGTTTGTACACACAGTGCTTTTACTGAGAACACTTCACTCATCCTCACAAAGCCAGCTAGCTCCCTTTCACTGCCACCTCTTCTGTGAAGTCATCCTTGGCCCTGCCAACTGGAAGGGATCTCTCTTTCTCCTCTGTGCTTCCAAGGCACTTGTATTGTAGCCTTCTCTCCCATAGCACTTACCATATTCATCTTGGATAGCAGTTATTTATTCTCCCCCGAGTAGATGGCAAGTCCTCTGAAGACAAGTTCAGTGTCTTCTTCATCTCTACAACACCTCCCCCACCCCTCCTCAGGTCCCTAAACACAATTTTTTATACCTACTATGTTTTCATTAAGTGTTAATCAAATTGAATCAAATAGAATTTAGATATTGGAATTAGATATTAGATTTAGATTTTAGGTAGAAGTAATGCAAAGAGTCCATTGGTAACTTCAAGGTCTCCTGTAAAAGTGATGGCTAAACTCCAATTTTAACTCAAGTCTCCTTACTGCTGATCCAGAAAATAAAGATTTAACTGCTCAAATCAAAGGAGAGATTGGCTCCCTTGATCCCTCATCACATGAATTTCTGTTAATCACAGAAATATAAGTGGTTGATGGCTACATTGTCATCAGATTCTGTGGGCAAGAGATAGAATCCATACATAATATCCTATGTCCCACCCTTTTATCTTTGTACAAAAGGTCTCCCATGTATCACCTCCTCATATATGCTTGGTAGACTCACTAGTTTCCTTTAAAGCACATGTCAGGTGCCACTACCCGCAAACCTATACTCTTCTTGATGGTTATTATCACCATCATCCACTTGAAATTCAGTGTATTACTTCATACATTGTATTTAGTGACCTATGTGAATGTCAGCTCCGCCCCCCCCCCATTTCAATTTAAGCTCTTTGAGGACAAGAACTGTTTCATTTTTTGTGTCTGTATCCCTGGTGCCTTACCCAGTGCCTGGCACATCGGTGCTTAATCCATGTTTTTTTATTTAAAATGAATTTTATATCATTCTAGGATCACCAGTTTAGAGCCAGACAGGACCTTAGAGGTCATCTAACCCAACCTCCTCGTTTTACAGATGAGGAAACTGAGACCTAGAGAACTCAAGTGGTTTGATTAAGATTATAGTCAGTAAGAGCTAGGATTTGAACTCAAGTCCCATGACTTCAGGTTCAGTGCTATATTGACTGTTCCACATGGTTTCTGAAGTGTGAGATAGGCCATTTCTCACAATCATACTAACTTCCTTAACTGTACCTCACAGAGGCCTCTCCAACTATTCTTACCACTGTTTCACTAAACCTGATGCAAACAGTAAGAAATAGGGAAGGATAGATATTTAGAAAAAAAGATAGATGTGTAGATAGATAGAAAGATATTTACATAAATAAAAAGATATAGGAGAAAGATAGATTTTTAGATAGAAGATAGGAAGAAAGAAAGAAAGAAAAAAGATATTTGGTTAGATAAATATATAGAAAGATTTTTAGATAGATATTTAGATAGAAAGATGTTTAGATAGTTAAATTGAAAGCTATTTAGATAGAAGTATATTTATATAAATAGGGAGAAAGAGAAATATTTATATAGAAAGATAGGAAAAGAAAGATATTTAGATAGATAAATATATAGAAAGATATTTAGATAGATTGAAAGATATTTAGATAGATAAATATATGGAAAAATATTTAGAAAGATAGAAAGGTATTTAGATAGAAAGATGTTTAGATAGATAGAACATTTATCAAGTGCTTGCTGTCTTCCAGGAATTGTACTGTGATGGGGAATAGAAATACAAATAAGCAAGATATCCCCTACCCTCAAGGAGCTTACATTCTACTGGGGAGGAGCTGGAAAGGGGGGGAAAGGGTATGTATAGTTAAAGTGGCTAGATGAGAGGGTGTACAGAGCATGTCCAGGCATGTCTGGGTCCTTCTTAAAAAGGTGGTCCCAGGAGAGAGTCAGGGAGGAGGTTTCTCCAGGCTGCCAAGGGCACAGGCATGAAGAAGTGCAATATAAAAAACCCCCGTGGCCTGTCTTGCTTGTCCCTCTTCAGGCTACTGTATGAGTGAAATGAATGATCTTGAACCACAAGAGTCCTCCAAGAGAGAAACAGGTTCAAAGGAAGGGAGAGATGCCTTGAATAGAGATCAGAGCTGAAGCTGGATACCCAAGGGGGTGGAGGGAGAGAGGACTTTCACTTAGATGATGGCTGATTTTGTCTTTTGAAAGTTAGGTACTGTAATGCAGGGTAATTATAAAAGAAAGGAAAGCACTAAAAGAAAAAAAAAGAATAAAAAGGGATGGCACAAAGAACACAAAGAATGGCAAAAAATAGTATCCACAGATAGCAGCTGTTGTCATTGTCATAGCATTAGGAGGAATTTTTTATTTTGTTTAGGCAACCTCCAAACCAGGCCTTTGGATATACACTGTGTAATTGTGACCTCGTGACATCCGTCTTGATAATAAAAAGGCTCCCAGACAAAAGAGAATGAAGGGCATGATTCGCTTTGTTGTAAAAATGAAAAACAAAGAGGGGCAGCATGCTGGGCTAAAAGAACACAGTTCTGGGACTCAGAAGGCCTAGGATTCTCACCCTAATTCTGATATGGCCTTTTTTTGTGATCTGGAACAAGTGAGAGAGATGTCATAGGGCAGTGGAGTGATGACAGAAATTGTGGTCAAAGAATTGGGTTCTAATCTCTATCACTCACTACCTCTATGACTGGGCAAGTCACTTAATGCCTCTACGCTTGTCTTTCCCCATTTCCCCATTGGTAAATGACCTTAATCCATCTTTGTTGATTTAAAATGAATTTTATATCATTCTAGGATCATCAGTTTAAAGTCAGATGGGACCTTAGAGGCCATCTAACCTAACCTCCTCATTTTACAGATGAGGAAACTGAGACCGAGAGGAATCAAGTGATTTGATTAAGATCTTACAGTCAGTAAGAGATGTTCTAGATGACATCTAGCTCCAAACCTTGACCCTTGTGGGTCTCAGTGTCTTTACTTGTGAAATATAGTGGGGTGCCTGAATAAGACAACCTCAAAGGTACCTTCAGGTCCCTAATATTTATAAGATTTTTTTAAAAGGAAGGACATATTTAGACAGATTTATTCATTTGCCTAGATTGTAAAGGGAAGACTAATTTTTTTTTCTTTTCAATTACAAGCTACAGTTTAGCTCAAGCTTAGAAGAACCTTTCCCAAGTCTTTTCCTTTCTTTGCCTGGTGCCAGAGCAATTAAGAGTGTGTGATTTGTGACTGTTTTTACTCTATAGCACAGGTTTATCATTTTGAAAGTTTTCCATTTGCATATAAGCTATACATTCTTTGGGTGACATTTCTACATCACCCCGAGTTTGGAATAGGCATTGCTTTGAGACGTGCTCAGAATCTGCAAACCAAATCCGGACAGCTAAGATGCTGAGGAGAGACACATATGGTTTTCTACTTTTTTCTGTGAATTTTCCTAGCTAGGCCTATTCTTTTGAATAGCAGGTGAATGGCCACTGAAGAGAAAAGAGAATTCTGATACGAGCCTATTCTCTCTTTGAAAAAATAATTAATAATTTTGTCTTAACATAGCTGACAATTCAATAAAGTTCAATTAAATGAGGATTTATTAAGTACCTGCTGTTTATCTGCAAGGCTGTGTGCTAGGTGCTGAGGACAGAAAGAGAAAAACCAAAACAGTTTTGTTTTTGCTGTTATTTTTATTCCTGACTCCAAGTCCTGCACTCTCTCTAATGTTCCCCATAGTTGTCCTCTTGAGGTGTTGTCCAAGATTTCCTGATTCCAGCCAAGGATAACACCTCCTTGAGTAGCTTGCTTTCTACTTTGTTCAGAATGGACCTTGGCAGGGAAGCAGATACAGAGAAGTATTTTTCCCATAACACTGGCTACTGTAAAAGGCTTCTGTTTCCTGGCTGGGCAGGTGAGTCGTTCTGGGTCAGTTACCACTTGGATTTTCTTCCTATTTAATTCTGGGGATATATTTTAAAAAAAAAAGGTCTCTGAATACCAGATGCAAACTTTGCCAGGTAAATACTAAAACTCAGTAGTACGTTCTTTTGAACACACTGAGAATAAGTCTCACGTTTCTCACATAAATCCACTGCCACCTTGAGTGAGTAGAAATGCTTCCAAATCACTTCCAGAATTAATCTTCGGTCCAAATGTCCGAGATAACCATAGGGCTTAGGCAGTACCTTCTGCCTTCACATACCTCATGTTAGATTGATTATGTCCTAAGACAGGAACTCATTCATTCTATGGCTCCAACTTCTGTTATGCTCAATAGTATTATTTCCATCCTTTTAATCCTAAGTCCCCAAGGATCATGCCCCCTTTCCTTAGTCTGTGTCATTGCTAGTAGACATCTGTCCTCCAATGGTTCTGACTACCAGTCATTCATTGACAGTTGGAACAAAGTATACTTTGCATATTCTTAGTCCTGATTTCTTTTATGAACAGTCCTGCATGTCATGGATTACCTTTATTAATGGTCTAGGCTTCACCATAGATTCTGACACATGGGGTTATGGGAGAGGGTTTCTATATCTACATTTTTATTCTCTGTCTGGTAATACACCTTGAAGTCATAGTCGGGAGGATCCCTGCTCATCTCTGGCTGGAGGCTTCCTGTTTAATATTTGTCATATTATGTCATTGTGTCATTGTTTTTTTTTTGTAGGCAGTGTGACTCAGTAGATAGAGACTTGGCCTCAGAGTCAGGAAAACCTGGCTTCAAGTTCTTGGCTGTGTGACTCTGGACAAGACACTTAGCCTCTCAGTATCCCAACCAACTCTCTGAAGAGTTGCAGATACCATCTCTATTGGTAGAGAGTTTTCCTCATCAGGAATTTCATATATGATGAAATTACAGGTTTATTCCCCAAAACATGGAATTGAGTTCCAAACATATAGCATCAGAGCTTTTCAATGACAGGTCACTTCCTAAATAAG